ATGAGACAACTTTGTGTAAATAAATAATATTTATTCTAAGGATGTAATTTAAAGTTACCATGTGGCGGAAATGGAAATTGTGACGTTGGTTCAACAAGTGCATTCTCAAGTAATTTACTATCATGTGCAGTACCTTCCCAACCAGCAGCAACAAAGTAAATTGCATATAAAAATCACAAGCACAAAAGACATTTTGTTATGTTCTTCCTTTGCGATTACGATATGCTTATTGCACCGCTTTAGGAACCTCCCTTTCTATATATGTTCCATCAATCGCACCAACACAATCCTATCAAATAAAAAATACATCAATATTAGTTTAGTGAACATAAAATAAATTGGAAGCATTATAGAATGCACTTTCATAAAAATAATGTTTGTAAGAGTAATAAAAAAAGTGCTTCCAAGACAATACAAAGTCATAAAATAAATATTATCTCTTTAAACAAAGTCGATAGGAAATATGTAACTAAATACTAATAACTTACACATAAAATATAAATGTTCACTTATTAAGGCCACAAAATAAATTTATTAATGTGATTGAAATTTTACCTTAAATCAAGGCCAAAATCGAGCATTATGTCGAATTTTGGAATGTACACTAGTCATATTTTTTGGTTGTATAAATGTTCGTGCCATCTTGCTAATTGCCTCGGCAACTATTTTAACATGCCGGTTAATTGTTTCAAGTGAATGTTGAAAAGTTTCACAATCGTGAGGTGTGAGTTAAAGTGACTATATGTTGGTGAGAATAATAAATTTTATGTCGGTGAGAATAATAAAATTTAAAAAGTAATGATGTGATTATAAATTTTATTTACATATGAAACAAATGGTTAGTAGATATAAATGTGGAGTTGTTTTAACAAAATGATTATAAATTTTATTTACATATGAAACAAATGGTTAGTAGATATAAATGTGGGGCTGTTTTAACAAAATATAAACTCATGGATCAATTATTATATTAAAATATCTCAAATCATGATATGGAATCACCATATAATTCCATATCATGGTTTTTGGAGAATATGGTATCACCTCTCATGATATGGAATCAGCATAAAATCGCATGTCCAAACGCTGATTCCATCTCACAATACCATATCGTGATATGGTATCGCATGGCCAAACGCCTACTTAGTAATATATCAATGTTAAAGACATTACTTAATTGTCTTTAAGGGTCCAAATTTAATTTTTTTTTTTTAAAGGCTCTTGGAAAGACCTTTTATGTGGGCTATTTTCAATTTTTTCATACGTTAATACAAAATAATATAAAACTAAATATAAATTTGTAAAAGCATTACAAAATTTTGGATCAACTATTTCTTTTTGTCATATTTTATTGATATTAGAAAGGCTTAAGTCATCCACGGCCCCTTAAAGTTGTCCGCGTAATTCACTTAGACACTTAAGTGTGGGGTGGGTTTTTAAAAAAAAATTAAGATTATTATTCAATTAAATTATTATTCTTTTAGTTATTGTATGCCATGTGTCAAAAAAAGACAAATTTATCAAAAAAATATTTTTTATAAAAATCTGGAATCTACTCACGCGCCCAACCAGAGTGAGCCACACTTATTTTGTCACATAAGCATTTTGTGTTTAATAGGTAAATGTTTTGAATAGTTTAAGTGTTCAATAGGTACAAGTCGTAGTTAAGGTGTCTAAGTGAATTATGCGGACAACTTTAAGGGGCCGTGAATGACTTAAGAAATCAAAACTTTTTAATTGTGTGTTTATTTTAAAGAAAGAAATATTTATATGGTAAAACTCAAAACTATGTCGATAATGAGTTCTTTTCTCTAAGGTTTTGTACTTGCATATCATTTTTTTTATAGGAGAGTTTAATATTGTACTACATGTCCAATTCATACATTATATGTTGCACTCTCGTCACTAAATTTGTGCCTTGTTATCATTTGAATTTTATAAAAAAGTTTTAAGGAAATTTTAATATATTTGACTTAAGGTCATCAAATTTGATGAGTCGTTCCTGATTGGTTAATATTGATCAGTATTATTGCTCTGATTTTGTTTTTGAAATAATCCATTTTAAAATAAATTTATAATTAGCTTTTGTTGAAAGCTAAAAAATAATTTGCGCTATCATACAAAAATATGATCGGATATTTATATGTATAATTTATATAAATCTCATAGTGTTAAGAGCTAACTGCATTATTTTCCTACTCTTTTTCAAATTACAAAAATTCTTTAAAATTTATGAATTTCGGATACATCATTGGACTTTCAGATACATCAATGGACATCTGGATACATAGGTGAGGGATGTATCAGAGAAGGGATAGGACATCCGGATATATCAGCATACATACGGATCCATAGGTAAGGATGTATCAGAGAGGGGATAGGACATCCGGATACATCTGGACACATAAGTGAGAAATGTATCAGAGAGGGGATGGATGTATCCGAGAAGAGGATAGGGATGTATCAACGAGAGAAGAGTGATGTATCCGATAGAGGATTTTTGATTTTTTTTTAAATGATAGCAAATTTTAGATATTATGAAAAATAAGATGTGTATTTAAGTAATTTTTCCTATTTTGATTCTCTAATACAAATATATATATTACTATTTTAGAAAAATAAATACTTTTTGACTTTTTGGAAGGGTAAGTATACAACTATTTGAATCTTTTGTTCATTTTGTGTAATGAAAGTTTGGCTGGAGCTACGGTTTGGCCAAAATACTTTTAGGCCACGCCAAACTACTCTGTCTTAGACTAGATGGTCATAATATATACGAGTCTTGAATTTCTCTTCTTTTCTTCTTTATTTCTTAACTTTTGGTTTATTTTTTTATCATCTGCCATGAACTTTTTTATTTGAAAGCTAAAAACTTGTAAAAGAGAAAAAGAAGAGTTGGAACTTAAATATTAATGTCACACATTTTAGAGATATAAACTTATCAAGTAACATTAATAGTACAAACAAAAACTTGAGTTATTTTTTATTTTTTTTTCTTTCCTTAAAATATGCACTTGCTCAAAATATATCACATAATCTTGACACAAATAAATTCTTTTATTGCGTAGCTTAATATTTCACTACCCAATAAATTTTTAGAGAAAAAAATTAGGCAATGACATAATATCCACATGGACCGCATCCTTGAAAAATTAACCCTTCAAATTTTAGACCTCCTAACAAAAATGTGTGTGGGGTTAATCCACCAGAAATTATTTCTAAAAATAAACTAAATTCTTCATCTTAAATATTATGCAATTAACGGTATAAAAATAATTAACATTTTTAATCTCGATCTCCTAAAATACTGATAATTATTTTAGAACAATTTTTTGAAGCTAAAGTGATCGATATGTTTATCTGAGATAAAGAAATAATTTTTTTTGTGATCGATATGCTTTCTCTGACAAAGAATTTCAAACTTGAACCTTCAACAAGAAAAATATCAAATCCAAACCACCAAGACACCCCAAAGGGTATGGAAATAATTAAACTCTAGTAATCAGCTGAGTCACATGACTAAACACAGTAACAAGGGTGGTATTGCCTAGGTAATAATATAAAAAGACGTGTTAAAGAAGCAAATTAAAGTAATTAATGAGGTGGCTTAAACACTTAGGCTAGGGTGAATCAAAGTTTAAAATCAAATGAAATTTGAATTCAACATAACTGTCATTTTAGTATATAAGTATAACACATATTTTTCCGTTGGCTTTTACTTGTCACATTTGATCATCTTAACACACCCATTTATCAATAATAGTTGATTAATTATTTTATATAAAATATAGAATTGTGATATATACTGTCATTTTCATGACTGACATATAATTAAAGTCTGTTGCAAATTTTACTGACATTAATAAATTCGATCATAATATCATCACAAATCAATTAGGAAATATTGTAAACTAATAAAGTATCCGGTTAAGTTGTTGGGGGAAAATAAGGGATTTTTGTATTTTAGTAAAAGAGTAGGGAAATATTGAGAATAGGTAAAGAAGTGTTGTGTATTTAAGTAATTTTTCCATAAATTTATCCATCACAATTATTCCAATTGATAAATTTGTGTCATTTTTTTCTTCTTCTGGTAATAATAACGTACTCCACTTACCTTTCCTTGGAATGCTCAACTTCCTCTATATAACAAGTTCAAAGATCCATATTATCAAGTACAAGTAACACTTTCATTCATATATAGTATAGAAACTAAATAAATTGATTGAGGAGTTCATGGAAGGCAAGACTATTTTGATTACCGGTGCTACCGGTTTCCTCGCAAAGCGTACTTTCTTTCTCTTTCAACTAAAATATTCTTTTCGTTATTTCATATTTTCTGACATATTTCTTTTAAGTGTAAAATGTCATATCTATTTTTAATATAAGGATCAAGTAAAATAAAACAAAGGATACAATATTGATTCTTTCGAACTACTAATTAACATGGCATTTGTTTTTGATAAAATGTACTTACGTAGTTGTTATGGAGAAGATACTTCGTGTTCAATCAAATGTGAGAAAACTATACCTTCTCATTAGAGCTCCCAACAACAACTCTGCCAAAGAACGCTTCACTCGTGAGGTAAGAACAACTTCATTTAAATGTGCTATACATGTCAATGTTATGCATGCAATTACAATAAACCATAGGAGTACTTTTAGGCTAAAGGAGTAGATATTGATGTTTGAGCAAAACTAAAAGTAACCGTCAAAAATTGTGATCGAATAGATAGTGTCTCGTATTCGAGTTATGAGAATTTAAAAATTCAATAAAAATGCCTTTCCCCATTAATAGTTTTACCGGACAAGCAGACACAAAATCAAATTAGTTTGGACCTTAAAGTAAATATCGAATGAACTTTTCTTTTTTACTAGTATAAACATTATTCCTTTTGTCTCATTTTACACGACACTATTTTAATTTGAAAAGTCAAATAATTTTATTGTTGATGACTATGAGTTTATGAATAAATTTAAAATATTTTTAATCAAATTTACTAATTTGATTTGTTATATATAATCACTAAAAAGGCGAAAAGCTTTATTAGTCTGGTTTACTAATTAAACAAATTATAAGATTATCAAAAAATATATGGTAAGAGATGGACAAATTAGGTTATGACTTATTATTTTGTCCGTTTTAACTCAGCTCAACTGCTCAAGTAACACACTCATTAATTAATGGAAAAGTTGTAGTATTTATTATATGGGTATAAAGTATATACATAACCTATACATTTTGCACATGTTTTGCAAACTAGATGATCCAATGGTTCAGACTCATTAATTATTTATGTTAACTGACCAACTCATATTAATATGTTTATATTCAACTCAATTCGTTTATTTGACATTCCTAATTTACACAGGTCATGATGTCTGAATTATTCAATGTTGCAAGGGAAAAGATTGGTAGTGAAAACCTCAAATCTCTCATGAAGGAAAAAGTGTTTGCAATTTCAGGTGATATTTCATACGAAAATTTGGGAATTAAAAACTCCGAATTAAGAGAGGAAATGCACAAAGAAATAGATATAATAATAAACTCAGCTGCAGTGACCAATTTTTATGAGAGGTATATATACTAAGATGAATTTAAAATAATTTTTTTACAATTTTTTTCATCTAATTTTTCATTTATATTTTATTTGAATAGATACGATATTGCAATGAATGTCAACGTGGTTGGTGCCATGAATGTCCTTAAATTTGCCAAGAGTTGTATAAAATTAAAGATGCTTCTTCATGTGTCTACCGGTGAGTAATATAATTAATAACTATCAATTTGCTTATTATTTATCTCCGGTTTAATAGAATAGTTGGTCTAAAGTTGAATTTTATAAAGTGACTTTAAATATAATTAATAGGATCTTTAATTTTTATATCTATTAATTCATATAATAATTATTAATTTAGATATAATTATTTTATAAGTGATATGATTATATTATATATTGTTGTTGCATAAAAACTTACTCTCTTTTTTATAGCTTATGTTTGTGGTAAAGCGATAGGAATTTTACCAGAAAAACCATTTGATATGGGTGAGACACTTAGTGAAAATACTTATTTGGATATTGATGTGGAACGAGGCGTGATAGCAAACAAATTAAAGGAACTTGAAACCCTAAATGCGACACCAAAGGAAGTTACAATAGCCATGAAAGAACTTGGCATGCAAAGGTCATTACAATATGCTATATATATACTAGTTCTCGAACAAATTCTGATGTTTTTATTATTCTTATCATCAATTCACAACATTGATATAAAATCTTAATTGAAATAACTAGGGCAAGATTACATGGATGGCCAAACATATATAGCTTTACAAAAGCAATGGGAGAGATGATTTTGGGACATTTGAAGGAGAATTCACAGGTTGTTATCATACGTCCAACGATTATAACTAGTACCTACAAAGAGCCATTCCCCGGATGGATTGAAGGAGTGAGGTAACTGAATACTATAGTGGATACAATCATATTGTTTGTTTTAGATTGTTGATTATATAATCAAGCAAATTATAAAGTGTTTCTTCATCATTGTATATCATTAGCTTGTCTCTTACATAAATATTATACTAGTATTTTGTAATTATAACAGAACAGTGGATTCATTTATTGTTGCTTATGGAAAAGGTGTACTGAAATTCTACTATGGTGATCCTGACTCAAAACTTGATGTGGTAAGTAATTTTTATGTTTTCCTCTCCATTTTACAGTGTAGAATTTTTATAAGGCGTCATAACACTCTTTTTCAAAAACTTGCTAGTCTAGAAGTCTGTTAGTCCATCTCCTGGAAACCTTCCATCACGAGCATCAAATACATCTTCTAATTTTTCCCACTAGCTACCTGTCACGAATTTAGAGTCTCACTAAAATTTCGTGCGATACTTGACAACTTACTCACTAATTTTTCAAGATCGTGACGGGACATGACATACCACATTGCAATAGTACATTGGCTTTGATTCTTCTTTTTTTTTTTCTTCTTATATTACATACAGATTCCAGGTGACATGGTGGTGAATTCAATCGTTGCCGCGATTATAGCACATGAAAATCAATATTCTGAAGATGTAGTTATTTACCACATCAGCTCTTCTTCAAGAGATGGCCCTCTAAAAAATTCAGATATAATGTCTTCCACATTTCACTACTTCACGAAAAATCCATGGGCGAATAAAGATGGGAAAACTATCAAAGTGGAAACTCCATTGCGTCCATTTAGCAGCATCGATAGCTTCCGCAAACACATTTCAATTCATTATTTGCCACTGTTAAAGGTTAGTAATATTTTTTTTGAAAAATTAGACTTTGCAATATATATACACACGATTTCATTAATAATACTAATTATGTCATGTGTTTAAATGCGAATTCAGATGTTAAAGTTTGTGAATATAGTGTCATGTCATTTCTTTGACAAAACGTATAAGAATATGGAAAGGAAGATGAATACGGCTATACGTTTATCTCAATTGTACGAACCCTACGTGTTTTTCTATGGAAGGTATGTATGATTATTACACTATTAAGTAACATGTTCTCTCTTTTGACTCTTCGATATTAATGCTAATTAAACACATATTTTACAGCTTCGATGATGTTAATACTGAAAAATTAAGATTGAGAATGAAGGAAATAAACATGGATGAAGTGCTCAATTTTGACCCTCGTTGTATCAAATGGGAAGATTACTTAATGAATATTCACATTCCTGGAGTTGTGAAGTACTTGTTCTAGGGATCTTATTTAAGCTTATGTTTTACATTAAATTTTAACTGAAAAAGTGAAAAGGAAGTCAATTGGCATGAGTGCTTTTTTTTCTGATTTATGGTAAGGTCATTGAGCCTCTGAGCCCAGTTGAGTGTGAAACCAGTTGGATTGGACCAGAAATAAAGTTATTAATGGGCAAATTTATGAACATTTCAGTTGGATCAATTAACACTTCACATTGCAGCCCAAGTCAACTTGGGCGGTAAGAAGAGATTTTGGAATATAAATTGCTACTTTTTTTTCTTCTTTCCGGTATCTACATTGAAGGAGGGAAACACTTCTTTTCAAGAATTTTTTCGGACTCGAATTCGAAATCTCTAATTAAGAAAAAGTCAAACACCATATTCTTTGGGAGTAAATACTTGCAACTAAAAATACATATTCCACAAAAAAACAGGCAAATGAAATTAATAAGAATTTTCATTCACAGAATTGAAGACAAGGCTTTATTAATCAATCTCATAATTAGTATTCTTGTCTTGAAAAAAAAATCAAAAGCACTTATTTTTAGGAGAATCTATTTTACTTTTTTTAGCTTTTGCTTAAGAATTGAACAATTGTTTTTACTATATTTTATAAAGTATAACCAAACACCCTAATCAGCTCTAAAAAAAAGTACTTTTTTTGAAAGTAAATACTTCTCATTATTGAGAAGTTTGGCCAAGCAATTATTATATATTCCACGTTTCTAATTTATTACTATTCTTTTATGTATTATAGGTTTGGTTAGCTAAGGGTTTGGCCAAAATATGTTTAGGCCATGCTAAGCTACTCTTTATCTAGACTAGATGGTGAAATTAGCTATATGAATTTCTCTTCCTTATTTATTTCTTAGCTTTTGATTTTCACTACTTTTACTATCAAACTTTTTATGGATACCTACTTCACAAGTAATCTGACAGTACAACATTTTAAGGATATCAATCATAGGCTATTGTTTGTACACATGATTTATGATTTGCATGGTAGCTCATTTCGATTCGATTCATTTCAGTTCAACTAACTTTTGAAAAATCAATAACATATAATTTATTAATTTAGTTTATTTTAGTCCGTTCAAACACAATCTAATCCGCTCTTTTAATACCTCTTATATCAAATAGTGCTTTGTGCGTTGTCAGTTTAATTTGGGTTCATACATACCATATTCAATCGAAGAAAAATCATTTTCTTCTATTCAATTTGTCGGGTCCTCTCATTGAGGCTATTTGGTTGTTACTTGTTAGAATTGTTTCTCCTCCGTATTTATCGAGAAGATCAGGCTATTTAATAGCTATAACCGAATCAAAGTTTAAAGTCAAGAGAATTGAATTCAAAATAATTGTAATCTTATTATATATAGCAGATACATCTGAATATTTGTGTATCTATGGATCGGAGTATGGACCCAAAAAAAAAAATATGTCTATGATTTCTAGTATGTAGAACCTAGGTAAGTAGATAGATATCAACGTAAACCTGCATTAAATGGATTAATATTAGCATAAGATAAAGGAAGAGGTATATTTGTGTTCAATTTTTTTTCGAGACTAATTGTAACTGGGATTTTTTTTTTACCAGAATGGTAAAATAATATATTTCACATTATTTTATTTTACATTTTTGAACATTTTTACCCTTTTAACTCTAATACCTTTTAATTAATGGAAAAAAAGATCAATTTATTTTAAAATAAAAAGGATATTATAGACTTTTTAAATTTCTAGCCAAATTCTGAGGCTGTCCCAACAATCAGGGGTGTATTTCTTGGAAGACTCAATTCATTAGATAAGCCTAGTACATAATCACTGATAGGATCATTCCTAAAATTAACAAATAATTAATGGGCACACTTTGAAGCAAGTTGATCCTAGAAGACTAACCTCGTAGCTCACTTAGATCAATCAGTTCAAGCATTGACAAACCCGGGGTTTCACGAGTTCACGTGAATTCATGCTTCTCTTCCGAGATTATATATAGTAGTGTTATGAGATTAGAAACTTAAATCTTATATATTTATCTTCTTCTCTTTTTTTCTTTTTAAAATTGAATAATACCTTTCTAAGTGGTTGTTGCTAGCACTTTCGGTAATAGTGCATTGCATCCTCTCGAAATCCTTAATATCTCTTTGCTCTATAAACCTTTTGTACAAGAATTCCTCTTTTTGTTATATTTATAGCTTTCATTTTATGACGGAAAAAAAAGAGGCTTCTACGTGTCTTGCATGAGTGAAAAACACGTGAACAATTAATTGTGTAAAAAATGTCAAAAGGACACAAATTAATTCAAGTGTCTAAGAGAAAATTGATATTAACTTCATGAAGCTGACATGGTTCCGCCTATATAATAAGTACAAAAATCCATACATCAATTACAAGTTGCACTTTCATAGAACGAAATTGTAGTCATCTGAATTAGCCAAAAATAGTTAAATCTCCCTAATGGAATCACGTACAATTGAGCAGTTCCAAGGCAAGACTATTTTGATTACCGGTGCTACCAGTTTCCTTTCAAAGCGTACTCTCTCTTCTCTCTTGTTATATAAAATCTGTTTAATTAAAGTACTAATTACTTAATTCCTGGGAATTAACTAAATTTGCATTTGTTTTGATAATATTGACATATGCAGTTCTTGTGGAGAAGATATTTCGTATTCAACCAAATGTGAAGAAAGTCTACCTTCTCATTAGAGCTTCTGACTACAACTCTGCCAGAAAACGCTTCACTAATGAGGTAATTAAGATGAGTTTCTTTTAAATTATATTTGATTGTATAAATATATTTTACATCGATATTGATAGTGAATAGAAATTAAACTCACACGTACGTATAGGTCATGATGTCTGAATTATTCAATAGTATAAGGGAAAAAATGGGTAGTGTATACTTTTGCTCTCTCGTGGAGGAGAAAGTGTTTGCAATTTCAGGTGACATTTCACAAGAAGATATGGGAATTATAAATTCTCAATTGAGAAACGAGATGTACAAAGAAATTGATATAATCATAAACTCAGCTGCAACCTTTGATGAAAGGTACAAATATAAAATTGTTAATATAGTTTTCAAGTTTCTTTTTAAAAAAAATAAATTAATTAAGATAATTTTATTTTCTCTAATATTTCATTTAAATTTTGTTTAAATAGATATGATATTGCAATGAATGTCAATGTGGTGGGTGCCATGAATGTTCTCAAGTTTGCAAAGAATTGTACAAAAGTGAAAATGCTTCTTCACGTATCTACCGGTAAGTTAATAGTACTGTTTAGTCAATTTGGTTATCAATTTTAGATTGATTAAATTAAACATGTGAAAATGAATTGAATTACTTAATAAATAGGAGATTACTAACCTGCCCAAACTTAAACGAATTGTGCAGCTGGCCTTGTTTTGATGGGCTAATTTTGCTGCCCCAATTTATCAAATATATACTAGCATTATAAATTTTTTTGCATGATATCAATTTTATCGAATTAATCATTATCTGACATTTTTAAAAAAAAAATATTATTAATACATAAAATTTAAATTCTTTATTTTATATACAGCTTATGTTTGCAGCAAAACAACAGAAATTGTACGTGAAAAACCATTAGTTATGGGTGAAACATTCAACGAAAACTCTTATTTGGATATGGATGTGGAAAGGAGAGTGATAGCAAATAAATTAAAGGAACTTGAAACTCAAAATGCAACACCAAAGGAAGTTACGACAGCCATGAAAGAACTTGGCATTCAAAGGTTATTACTCCTAGATGATATATATATGAGATAAATTCAACAAAGGAAGTGCAACAAATTCTTAAGTTCATTATTCTTGTAAAATTGAAAATATTAGCATACAACTTACTCGAAATAATGGATCGTTAATTAGGGCAAAGTTACATGGATGGCTATACACATATAGCTTCACAAAAGCAATGGGAGAGATGATTTTGGGACACTTGAAGGAGAATTTACAGCTTGTTATCATACGTCCAACGATTATAACTAGTACCTATAAAGAACCATTTCCGGGATGGATTGAAGGTGTAAGGTAAGTAAATACTTATAGACACAATATAATATTACTTTTTGATTTAGGTTGTTAAAAACATAATTAAACTAATTAAATCGTGTTATCGTTTTTTTTTTTTTTTTTTTGCTAAATTTAGATAGATATATCTTTATCCCTTCTTATATTATTTTCTAATAACAGAACATTGGATGCATTTATTTTGGCTTATGGAAAAGGTGTTTTGAATTTCTTCTATGGTAATCCTGACTCAAAACTTGATACGGCAAGTTATTTAATTTCCTACTTTATAATTAATTTCAACTTGGTGATTATACGTCTATTTTAAGGCTATTTTTTACCTTTTAATTCCATCTTTAAAATATAAAGGCCAAAGTAAATATATGAATAGCTCCTAAAGTTGATGCATTCTCTTTTTCTTTTATACATTTCAACTGACAATTAAACATTTGACATATGCCTAAACGCTATACAGATTCCAGGTGATCTGGTGGTGAACGCAATTTTTGCAGCGATTTTAGCACATGAAAATAATCAATGTTCTCAACAAGTGCTTATTTATCACATCAGCTCTTCTTCAAGAGGCCCTCCAAGAAATTCAGATATAAAACATTTCATGTTTCACTACTTCACAAAGAATCCATGGATTAACAAAGATGGGAAAACTATCAAAGTGACAAAGCCTATATTATTTAGCAATATATCAAGCTTTCGAAGACACATTTCAATTCATTATTCCCTGCTGTTAAAGGTTTTTATTTAGTATTGTCCTTACTAATCATTTGGTTTATTATTAACAAAAATAATTGCACAATAAAATTTTGTACAAGTCATATAACGTTTGATTTGTCATATGTATAAGAAAAAATCATCGCTACATACCTTAATGTGGAGCTTGATACTCTTTATATAACTAGTATGTGAACAATTGACAATACTTTAAAAGTGTAATTATCAAATTCTTTAGATTTTTTTCAAGTTGTCTTTCAATTGTATTGCTAACTCATGTTATAAAATGTTTCAGATGCTAAAGTTTGTGAACCTAGTGTCATTTCATCGATTTGATAAAACATATGAAAATATGAAAATGAAGATGTGTAAGGCTATACGTCTATCTGAATTATACGAACCCTACATGTTTTTTTATGAAAGGTATGCATACGTTGTAACTTTTATTTTGTTCAATATTTAGCATTACATATAACTAATAATCCAAGAATATTAATGCTAAACAATTATTTTTTTCAGCTTCGATGATGTTAATACTGAAAAATTAAGAATGACAGTGAAGGAAATCAACTTGGATGAAGTGCTTAATTTTGATCCACGATGCATTAATTGGGAGGATTACTTTATGAATACTCACATTCCTGGATCTGTGAGATACCTGTTTTAGGGATTATATATAAGCTTTTTCTATATGTATGCTTAATTATAAGATTTACTTTAGCGCTTTGATAATTAAGAAGGTTGTTTAATTTATGTGTACTCGTCATATATTTTCAATCAGGGGCGGAATTAGCATATATAATGCGTGTTTTTGGAAATCTAATAATTTTTGTGCGAATCTTGTATTTGTTTTTTTTATTATTATTAATAATGTTAAGAATAGATAGTATTGAAGCCTATAATTAATGTCAACAAAATGAATTGGAGTAGTACTTGTAATTTGATCATATGTACATAAGAATGATTTTTTCATTCGCCGGAAAAATTTGAGAGAGACTCTGTCTCTGATCTGATTTTTTTCCAATGAATTCTCATATTTCCTTTTAGAACTGATAATTTTAATTTTAAATAAAATGTGTTTTGGTGGAAGAGAGGGAGGGAGAGAGAAAGAGAGTGACGATCAGGTGTATCTCCATCTTTTCCGTCGAGGTGGTGATGATAATTTTGAGGTCTTGAAAAAAAAAAATTGTAAATGAGTATGATTTTATTTTTTTCAATGTATGGTTCTTTTTGTTTTATTCAAAATCAGTGCATTATTATGTTTTTGTAATATTTTTTCAAATTAATGTGGTGGTGGTTTGATGAATGGTGGTTGAAAGTGAAAGAGAAAGAGGGAAGAAAAAAGAAGGGAAAAAAAAAATGTTTTCCACGCTCTCAAAATTTCAATAACTTTTTTCAACTTTGAATAATTCACTTATTTTGAACTATGAACTATAGAGGCGGTCTACTGTTTTCTTAAGAAATATGTAAAAGAGAAATACGTCAAATAATTTGAGACGAAGGGAGTACTGATTCACTGTTGTCATGTTCAATATAAAAGCAAGTCTTTTTGTTGTTATGGCTGTATACATAATTTCTAAAGCCAAAAACAAGTGTATAAGAAAATGAGTTCTCTTATTGCTACTTGTTGTAAAAAGCATGACCAAATTGCTATAGTTATGGTTCCATTCCAAGTTCAAGGACACCTCAATCAATTTCTCCATCTCTCTCGTCTTTTTTCATCATACAATATACCAGTTCATTATCTTGGTTTTACTACGCAAATTACTCACGCTAAGGCTCGAATCCATGGTTGGGATTTAGCCACTGCTGCTAATTACATTCATTTCCAGGAATTCCCAATCCCATCTTCTTTTATGTCCTCTAATAAAAAAAAAATATCTCAAAACTCATAGTATCAGTACTCGATGCATCTTTAACGTTGCGCGAGCCTGTGACTGCATTTATCAAGAATCTTTCGAACACAACTCGTAGAGTTGTGGTCATTTATGATTCCATGATGGCTTACACTGTTCAAGACGCCGTGGCGTCTGTAAAAATTGTGGAAGCCTATTGTTTCCATGCTATCTCTGTTTTTAGCTATAGTTCTCTGTTTTGGGATGCCATCAAAAACCGCCTCCATCTCCCTTCATTCGTTGCAAAATTGGCTAAGAAATTTTTACTCCCATCTGGTGCATATATTCCGGAAGGACTTCCAACTATCAAAAGTAGTTTCACACCTGAATTCGCAGAATATCTGCGGTTACAACACAGTTGTAACAAATTCAGCTCCGGGAACTTATATGATGCTTGCAAAGTTCTCGAGGGTCCTTATCTCGAGACACTTGCAAAGTTACTCAGAATTCACAAGCAATGGGCTGTTGGCCCATTCAATCCAGTGACTATATCAGGGATAACTCATCACGAATGTTTAGAGTGGCTAGACAAACAATCTCCAAATTCAGTGATTCTTGTTTCTTTCGGAACAACAACCTGCCTATCTACTGAACAAATTAAAGAGATCGCGATCGGGTTGGAGAAAAGTCAGCACAAGTTCATTTGGGTAGTGAGAGATGCTACGAAAGAAGAAGGACAAGTCCAAATCCCAAAAGGGTATGAAAACAGAGTAAAAGAAAAGGGAATTATCGTTAAAGATTCCCAATTGGAAATATTGGCACATACATCGACTGGTGGGTTCATGAGTCACTGTGGGTGGAATTCGTGCATGGAGAGCATTACTATGGGAGTGCCAATAGCGACATGGCCTATGCAATTTGATCAGCCAAGAAATGCGGTTTTTGTGACAGATGTTCTTAAAATTGGAGTTGTTGTGAAGCATTGGGATCGTCGTGATGACATAATTGATTCAACCACAATTAAAAACTGTGTTAAAAAATTAATGGCTTCTACAGAAGGAGATGAGATGAGAATGCGTGCCATTGAATTTGGTAAAAAAGTCAGAGAATCAATGAAGAATGGTGGAGATCATCAAATGGAGATGGATTCTTTCATTGCTCATATTACTAGATAGATTACAAGCTGCTTCTGCTTCTGCTGTATCATCAACCAGTCTTTCTCTCCCTAATTAATAAAAGTCGGAAAGTCACCCTGCTAAGAGTTATTTTCAGAGAAACTTGCTCAACTTTGTTTTATAATTATTGATATTTCACGTAGAAAGTAAGTCAATCAATTTAAATGTTTTCATTAAATTTGTTGATTTGTTGAAACACACTTTTTATTTTAAATTAATTGTAAAAAATAATAAGATATATATTTTAATTATTTTATTGAAACACTTACTTGGATCTATGAAATACTTGTTTTAGGGATTATATGTAGGAAAAATTGTATAAAATAGCAAACTATTAATTCAAATTAAATGTTATAACCACAATTTGATTTAATTGTAACTCGTAGCAAACTGTTGCCATTCGCCTCTCTCCCTGAAATTCTCGTTTGCCACTCTCGTTTTCTCGCTGGCAATCTCTCCCTCGCCCCTCTCACTTTTATACAAACACAATAAAAACACAAATGTATAAAATGTGTTTGTGTTTGTATAAAGTGAGAGAAAAATGTATATATACAGATCTTTTCGTTCGCCTCTCTCCCCCAGAAAATCTCGATCACCGCTCTCCCAGATCTCGTTCGCCACTCTCACTCTATACAAACACAAATGTATAGTTTGTGTTTGTATAAAGCGAGAGAAAATTGTATATACAAATACAAATACATATATTTTCGTCCTATACACTTATAATTATACAAATACAGATCTTTCCCTGCTCAATTTTCTTTTGTCTTTCTCTCTTTCTCACTTTCTACAAACATAAATTATACAATTGATTCTTTTGTATATGTATACCGAAACAGATTATACAATTGATCTTCTGTATATGTATACCGAAATATACATATTAATTAATAGCCATAGCAAACATAAAGTTTGTTATGGAGCGCAATTATACAAACTATAGCTATATCATACAAATATGATTTTTATGTTTGCTAAACCTAAAATTTATTCTTATATTTAAGCTTTTATATATGTACCTAATTATAAGATTTACTTTAGCGCTTTGATTAGAAGGCTGTTTAATTTATGTGTACTCGCTATATGTTTTCAATCAAGGGCAGATTTAGCAGGTATAATGTGTCTTTTTGTGAACCCAATAACTTTTACACGAATTTTGTATTTGTATTGAATAATATAGTAACTGTAGATATCACATTCAAGTTTCCCTCCAATGTGAGACTTTTTGACACAAACTCAAATTTTATCAGACTCCAATGCGAATACTGAATATTTGAAAAACAAAACACGGTTCTTGTTGTTAATGAATATTAATGGAATATAAAGTAATCTGAATGTATAGTCTGGATTGTGATATAAAAATCTGATTTTTAATTGATAGTTAGATAATAAGGGAATATATTTAATGTGATAGAAAATCTGATTATTAGTTGATAGTTAACATGATTAACAACAAAATGAAAGCACATTCACACATTTATAGGCATACATATTATTAATTAGATATTGAACTCTCAAGCAAATAAATTTTTTAGCTTCTAAACCTTAAGATAATAAAACGCGGTTAATTTGTGTCTAAGTTGTCTTTGATGAAGCTAATTCTAGCAACGTTGAAACTTTTCCCCAATTTTTGGTGGCCGTCCCTATTGCGTGTCATGTTTTTTTTTTTTTACTCACATCTTAAGAAATCGCTCTTCTAGCTTGTTTGCTAAATACTACTAGTACTTTTAGGCCACACTAAGCTACTTTTTATCTAGACTAGATGGTGAAATTGGCTATATGAATATCTCTTAATTATTTATTTTTGAACTTCTGATTTTCACTCACATGCTACACAAACTTTTAATATCAAACATTTTAGAGATATCAACTTATCAAGGTATCTAACAGTACATGACAAGGTTATTATATTTTTTGACATTATAATACTTCTCTTTTTTAACATTAAGTTAATTAATGGCTATGTACGATTTAAAGACGAATTCAAAACTTGAAAGTATATTTAGTTTTTCTTTTCTTCTTTTAAGTTCCTGTACTATAGAAGAAGTTTCATTTTACTAGCCCACATAATTAGAAAAAAGATTTGCAAATGAATATCCACTTGGACCACAACTTTGAAATATTAGTCCTTCAAATCTAGACCTCCCAACCCAAAATAAGCTATGTAGACAGTATATATCAATTTAGAGGTGGCAAAAACAAATTAGTTTAATTTTTTCAGGTTTGGGCCCATTAACGACACTTTTATTTATTAGCTCAAACTTCTTTTAATTTGACTCACTTCAGCTTATAAAAGTTATATTGACATGTGGTTCAAATTGAGCAATGACATTTTTTGTCAGATAACAATTTTTACATTAACATATTTGATAAATTTCAAAACGTTTATGAAGGTTAAATATAGTATTTAAGTTTAGGATAAATTATACATAATATTTATGTGTGTTTATTGAGAAAATCAATTCGTTGAGGGGTGTAATGTATAAATATTGAATAAATAGAGTATATATATATATATATATATATATTTTTGACAGTGATTCAAATTTTAAGAAATACCTTATATATTATGTAATATTTTTCTCGAGGAAATTGGAATGAATACCCTCACCCTTTATAGAACCTAGGGTAGAAGATAGATAGTAACGTAAACATGTGTTAAATGGATAATTTTAGCAAAAGACAATAATTTATTCAAAAAAAAAAATTCGAGATGTAATTGTAAGTGAGGTTATCCCTACACTATATTTCTTTTCTCCGTAAACCTTTTGTATTGGAATTTCTCTTCTGTTATTTTTGCCTCCATTATCAAATATATAAGATATGTTATCTCTTAGGATTATAGGATATATAAAAATAATTAGATAGTATAAAAAAAAATTAATATTCTTCGCATACATAAGTTAAGCTCAATATTAGATTTAACTTATATTCACCGAACTCATACAATTTATATATATATTTATATATATCACATAATTTCCGTCACAAATAGAACATGGACTAAAATTGGATGTATAAGTCTGTCACAAAGTTATATTTTATTTTAAAAATAAATCGTAACAAAAAATATAATAATATCCATAATACTAAATAGTTAATTCATTAATAATTTAATGAAAATTGTATCACTAAACGTAGCCATCTCAGGGAAATTTTAATATCTCAGTTAGTTGGCTATCTGAACTCTCACCTTATTGGTGAGGATTCGATTCCCACACTTATCATAATAACCACTTACCTTACATGTTTCATTATCCGCTATATATAAGTGCTACTTTGCAAGGATCCATACATCATCAATTACAAGTTGTACTTTCATAGTACTTAATTTTGGTCTTCTAAATTAGCCACACACAAAAAAAAACTTAGGTGATGGAATCACGTACAATAGAGCAGTTCCACGGCAAGACTATTTTGATTAACGGTGCTACCGGTTTCCTTGCAAAGAGTACTCTCTCTCGATCTCGATCTACTATCTCCATATATCGATTTGTTTAATTAAATTAAAGTACTAATTAATTAGTTCCTTATAATTAACTTAATTTCATTTGTTTATACAAAATGTACGTATGTACATAGTTCTTGTGGAGAAGATACTTCGAGTTCAACCAAATGTGAAGAAACTCTACCTTCTCATAAGAGCTTCAGACAACAACTCTGCTAGACAACGCTTTACCAATGAGGTAATTAAGCTTATAAGGACCAATTTAGTTTGTGATTCCATTTAGTTTTTATTTGATCGATAATATAGATCATTTAATTGCAAGCATTCTTTTTTTATTTTACTTTTTAACTCACTCATTTAACACTCCTAATTCACACAGGTTGTAATGTCTGGATTATTTAATGTTATAAGGGAAAGGATGGGTACAATATATCTCAGCTCTCTGGTGGAGGACAAGGTGCTACCAATTTCAGGTGACATCTCAAAAAAAAATATGGGAATTAAAAACTCTCAATTGAGAGAGCATATGTTCAAAGAAATTGATATAATCATAAACTCTGCTGCTACCACCAACTTTGATGAGAGGTACATATATATACAAATTAATATATTTTTCTAGTTTATTTATAAAAAATATTTGTACACTTCTTTTCTTTTTTGCTAATTTTTCATTTCAATTCTGTTTGAATAGATATGATATTGCAATGAATATAAATGTAGTGGGGGCCAAGAATGTCCTCAAGTTTGCTAAGAGTTGTAAAAAAGTAAAAATGCTTCTTCATGTATCTACCGGTGAGTTTATGATTTTTCATCTCCGTTCTTATACAAATATTTTAATATATATCATTGATGCATGAAACATAAACTCTTGTTTTTTATATACAGCTTATGTTTGCGGTAAATCAACTGGAATTTTATCAGAAAAATTGTTTGTTATGGGTGAGACGCTCAACAAAAACTCTTATTTGGATATGGATAAAGAAAGGAGCGTGATAGCAATCAAATTTAAGGAACTTAGAGCTCAAAATGCGACAGCAAAAGAATTGACAATAGCTATGAAAGAACTCGGCCTACAAAGGTTATTACAAGATATATGTTCATGAAGTCATATATAAAAAAGAAATTAAATTAATAATATATACTTGTAGCATTTACAACAATGCATATGGTGTTAGAAAAAACATAAATCCGCTACTTCTAGTCAATTTCTTTCATTAACACTTTCATAATAGGCATGCTGAACATACAAAAAATTTTGTTTCATTTAAAATTCAAATATTAAATTCAATAAGTAGACTTACTCTATTAAATGGGTTAGGCCTTAAAAGGACGTTAAAGATGGCTTCTCCAACCAATATCCTAACATAACATATGGTATGAAATTTGATCTTAATAATTAATTAGGGCAAGGTTACATGGATGGAAAAACACATATTCTTTCACAAAAGCAATGGGAGAGATGGTTTTGGGACATTTGAAGGAGAATCTACAGATTGTTATCATACGCTAGTACCTACAAAGAGCCATTTCCTGGATGGATTGAAGGAGTGAAGTAAGTGTT